TGTGAAATCGTGCCCCTCTTGTCAGGCCTTATCCTGAGTGATACCGTGCCCCTCTTGTCAAGCCTTATCCTGAGTGATACCGTGCCCCCCTTGTCAGGCCTTATCCTGTGTGATATCGTGCCCCTGTTGTCCAGCCTTATCCTGTGTGAAATCGTGCCCCTCTTGTCAGGCCTTATCCTGAGTGATACCTTGCCCCTCATGTCAAGCCTTATCCTGATTGATACCGTGCCCCTCTTGTCAGGCCTTATCCTGAGTGATGCCCCTCTTGTCAAGCCTTATCCTGTGTGATATCGTGCCCCTCTTGTCAGGCCTTATCCTGAGTGATATCGTGCCCCTCTTGTCAGGCCTTATCCTGAGTGATATCGTGCCCCTCTTGTCAGGCCTTATCCTGAGGGATATCTTGCCCCTCTTGTCAGGCCTTATCCTGAGTGATATTGTGCCCCTCTTGTCAAGCCTTATCCTGAGTGATATCGTGCCCCTCTTGTCGAGCCTTATCCTGAGTGATATTGTGCCCCTCTTGTCAAGCCTTTTCCTGAGTGATATCGTGCCCCTCTTGTCAAGCCTTATCCTGAGAAATATCGTGCCCCTCTTGTCCAGCCTTATCCTGAGTGATATCGTGCCCCTGTTGTCAAGCCTTATCCTGAGTGATATCGTGCCCCTCTTGTCCAGCCTTATTCTGAGTGATATTGTGCCCCTCTTGTCAGGCCTTATCCTGAGTGATATTGTGCCCCTCTTGTCAAGCCTTATCCTGAGTGATATCGTGCCCCTCTTTTCAAGCCTTATCCTGAGTGATATCGTGCCCCTCTTGTCCAGCCTTATCCTGAGTGATATTGTGCCCTTCTTGTCAAGCCTTTTCCTGAGTGATATCGTGCCCCTCTTGTCAAGCCTTATCCTGAGTGATATCGTGCCCCTCTTGTCCAGCCTTATCCTGAGTGATATCGTGCCCCTCTTGTCAAGCCTTATCCGGTGTGATATCATGCCCCTGCTTTGAGTGATGCTGTGCCCCTCTTGTCAAGCCCCTGTTGTGTGTGTCACCTTCCCTTCTGTGTGGCCTGTTTCTGCATACTTGAAGTCATTCTCCAAGATGATTATCATATATTCTTGCAATTAGACATTTACAATGGGAAAAAAACTTGTGTCAATCTCAGTCAGGAGAATCATTCAGGAAGTTTCCATAATGTTGTCAGTATCTGTATTTGCAATCCCATCAGGAAGTAGTTGTACAGTCTCGTGTGAGTGGAACAGAATGTAGGTCACACCCAACATGTGTGATAGTTGACTTTAACAAACAGCTGGCCCGGGTTTCAGTAACCCATCAATAGATTTTCTTGAAATAATTATTTTCAAAAACAAACCCATGCTGTGGGAATAGAACACAGAACCCCTGGGCACACCTGAGTAGTGACACCGTCTGCTGTCCCGTGTTGACCGGCTTCCTTCCTATTGTAGTCCTCCCTACTACAGCAGTTATCTCTCTTATTAATATACATCATCTGCAGTTGCCACGGTTACCAGTATGTACATCGATTCATCTTGAGAACCTGTCTGTCATTAATCAAATAGTCATGTGTCCACGTCACTGTGAAAGAGCAGTAATCTTGAACGCAACGTTAAACCCTATTTCACCTCACCACACATACACACACACAACACACACACAACACACACACAACACACACACAGGCACATACATACACACACATGCATATATACACTCACATGCACACACACACATCACACACACAGGCACATTTATACACACACAAAACACACACACAACACACACAGGTACATATATACACATGCATGCACACACACAACACACACAGGTACATTTATACACATGCATGCATGCACACAACACACACACAGGTACATATATACACAGGCATGCACACACACAACACACACACAGGCACATTTATACACATGTATGCACGCACACAACACACAGCTACATAAATACACATGCATGCACGCACACAACACACACAGGTACATTAATACACATGCATGCATGCACACAACACACACACAGGTACATATATACACATGTATGCACACACACAACACACACACAGGCACATTTATACACATGCATGCATACACACAACACACACAGGTACATATATACACATGCATGCACACACACAACACACACACAGGCACATTTATACACATGCATGCATACACACAACACACACACAGGTACATATATACACATGTATGCACACACACAACACACACACAGGCACATTTATACACATGCATGCACACAACACACACACAGGTACATATATACACATGCATGCACACACACAACACACACACAGGCACATTTATACACATGTATGCACGCACACAACACACAGCTACATAAATACACATGCATGCATGCACACAACACACACAGGTACATTAATACACATGCATGCATGCACACAACACACACACAGGTACATATATACACATGTATGCACACACACAACACACACACAGGCACATTTATACACATGCATGCATACACACAACACACACAGGTACATATATACACATGCATGCACACACACAACACACACACAGGCACATTTATACACATGCATGCATACACACAACACACACACAGGTACATATATACACATGTATGCACACACACAACACACACACAGGCACATTTATACACATGCATGCATACACACAACACACACAGGTACATATATACACATGCATGCACACACACAACACACACACAGGCACATTTATACACATGCATGCATACACACAACACACACAGGTACATATATACACATGCATGCACACACACAACACACACACAGGCACATTTATACACATGCATGCATACACACAACACACACACAGGTACATATATACACATGCATGCACACACACAACACACACACAGGCACATTTATACACATGTATGCATGCACACAACACACACACAACACACACACAGGCACATTTATACACATGTATGAACGCACACAACACACAGGAACATTTATACACATGTATGCACGCACACAACACACAGCTACATAAATACACATGCATGCACGCACACAACACACACAGGTACATTAATACACATGCATGCATGCACACAACACACACACAGGTACATTTATACACATGTATGCATGCACACACACACAGCTACATAAATACACATGCATGCACGCACACAACACACACAGGTACATTAATACACATGCATGCATGCACACAACACACACACAGGTACATTTATACACATGTATGCATGCACACACACACAGCTACATAAATACACATGCATGCACGCACACAACACACACAGGTACATAAATACACATGCATGCACGCACACAACACACACACAGGTACATTTATACACATGTATGCATGCACACAACACACACAGCTACATAAATACACATGCATGCACGCAAACAACACACACAGGTACATTAATACACATGCATGCATGCACACAACACACACACAGGTACATTAATACACATGCATGCACACACACAACACACACACAGGCACATTTATACACATGTATGCATGCACACAACACACACACAACACACACACAACACACACACAGGCACATTTATACACATGTATGCACGCACACAACACACAGGAACATTTATACACATGTATGCACGCACACAACACACAGCTACATAAATACACATGCATGCACACACACAGGCACATATATACACATACATGCACACAACATGCACATATATACACATGCATGCACACAACACACACAGGTACATATATACACATACATGCATGCACATAACACACACACAGGTACATATATACACATGCATGCATGCACACAACACACACACAGGCACATTTATACACATGCATGCATACACACAACACACACACACAGGTACATATATACACATGCATGCACACACACAACACACACAGGTACATTAATACACATGCATGCACACACACAACACACACACAGGCACATTTATACACATGTATGCATGCACACAACACACACACAACACACACACAGGCACATTTATACACATGTATGCACGCACACAACACACAGGAACATTTATACACATGTATGCACGCACACAACACACAGCTACATAAATACACATGCATGCACACACACAGGCACATATATACACATGCATGCATGCACACAACATGCACATATATACACATGCATGCACACAACACACACAGGTACATATATACACATACATGCATGCACATAACACACACACAGGTACATATATACACATGCATGCATGCACACAACACACACAGGTACATTTATACACATACACGCACGCACACAACACACACACACAGGTACATATATACACATGCATGCACACACACACAACACACACACAGGTACATATATACACATGCATGCATGCACACAACACGCACATATATACACATGCATGCACACAACACACACAGGTACATATATACACATACATGCATGCACACAACACACACACAGGCACATATATACACACACATTCATGCACACAACACACAACACACAGGCACATTTATACACACACATTTGGGTTCCTTCTCTGCACTCGTTACTACAACAGATAAATCACTAATCTCTGCTGCATGTTTTCTGTATGTATATTGTATGTACTGTACGTATGTTTGTATGTGTTGATGTACGACCAGCACAGTCAGTACTGATGCGTGACCTGAGCGTGTGCGTACATTGCATGTGTGTCCATGCTGGGTAGCTGAAAATAGTCAGTGAAGCAAAGAGCTGAGAGCTGAGAGCTGAGAGCTGCATAAATCATCAGTAATCCTAATGTCAACTCTGGTATTTCATTAATGGCAGAATGCCTCTTCCCAGAAGTCTGTACGATGAATGAAGACTTTAAAGTAGTTTGTAATTCAAGAAAGAAGAAATTATTCCCCGGATATTTTGTTTATTTATCATTGCAATTTTTCAGAGAGTCAAAGAAGACCTTAAGAGTTCTTGAAGGGATAATGTCAACAGGCTCTCGATCTGCTACTCCAAAGATGCTGACCCCCAATAATCACCACAGGAGGATCCCCAAGCTGACTGTGTAGCAACTTGTGACCCCAATACTCCACCCCCAACCCCTCTGTAGAGGAAGATCCCCAAGGTGACTCTGTAGCAACTTGTGACCCCAATACTCCACCCCCAACCCCTCTGTAGAGGAAGATGCCCAAGCTGACTGTGTAGCAACTTGTGACCCCAATACTCAACCACCCCCCTCCCCCCCACCCCTCCCTCTCTCTCTCTCACACACACACACACACACACACACAGGAGGATAGCCAAGCTGACCGTGTAGCAACTTGTGACCCCCAATAATCTGCCCCCACCCACCCCCACAGAGGAAGATCCCCAAGCAACTTGTGACCCCCACCCCACATATGTTACCCCCAAAACTCTCCGCCTCATACACACATTACCCCCAATACTCACCCACCACCCACACATGTGACCCCCACCCCCCACTCACGCATGTGACCTCCAGCATGTTCCCTGACATCTGAAATGACAACAGATCTACAGTCTGCCAAATATACCTGGATAACTGGTGTGACCATGGCCACTGGTTTAACATTGCCATTATTACTTCCGATACCTGGATAACTGGTGTGACCATGGCCACTGGTTTAACATTGCCATTATTACTTCCGATACCTAGATAACTGGTGTGACCATGGCCACTGGTTTAACATTGCCATTATTACTTCCGATACCTAGATAACTGGTGTGACCATGGCCACTGGTTTAACATTGCCATTATTACTTCCGATACCTAGATAACTGGTGTGACCATGGCCACTGGTTTAACATTGCCATTATTTCTTCCGATACCTGGACATCATCTCCATCCTCCTCACAGCCAGGGTATAGATGCAGATGAGGAACACACCTGTTTCTGTTCGTTGAGAGAGAAACATTGCTTGATTTGTTGCATGGTTCCAGGATATTTCTACAAACAGATTGTTGATTGTTGGACAACTTATTGTACATGCTATGACGTCCGCTTGCTGTGATATTTAACATTCTACAGATATATAATTATCTCTACATTCTACCCCAGTTATGATTTGTACAAAATGTTACAACATGTGTTGTGAAACTACTCCCGGTCATGCCCTGCCATGTCTCTCCAACAAGCACCTGCCACGTGAACCCTGTTACTCATCTCTAACTTGTAGCAATATCACCTTGAATCTGCTCAAATGATTGTTTTGTTATCATAATAAAACTTTGATGTATTTGATGTATGTTAATTGTTGTGAAAGAAGATGGTACTTATATCACTCACTCACTCACTCACTCACTCACTCACTCACTCGCGAGTCCTCAACATCCTTCCATTTGAAGCGCCTGTAAAATAATTGATTTCATTGATGCTAACTGAGAACTTTGGATACATTCGTGTTATCTGCACTATCCCCCTCATCCAGTCGTGCTGAAGACACACACATGTGGCGCCACTTTAAACACACAATGTAAATTGCGACCCCCAAACACACCTTTATATTACAGCTTTAGAAACTGGCACTAGTCCTATAGTCCTTGCCAAACTGCCCAATAGTTAAGGTATCATAAGGACTAGGAGAAATTTGCCATTTTTTAGGGTTTTGCTATATGTCAATATTATAAGGACTAGTGGACTAAACCAGTTTGTTTCTGTCGCTGCATTCGTGAGACAGACAAACATTGAACTCCCCACGACTTGTGTGTGATGCTGCATCAGCCCTGTGTGGAGTTTGTGTTGATCTCAGCCTGTAGTGGGAATCAAACCGCCTATGTTCGTTACTAACCACTGTGCCAACTCAGGTCCAAGATGACTCAGGAGCATCCAAACTGATACCTTTGCTTATGTTACATTAGTACTCTTAAGTCGTGAATCAAAGGAAAAATAACTCAAACATGCATGTTGCTGCAATCTCGTTAAAGTTTGACTTTTTATTCCTTTTCCTCTCGACGTGAAGATCTGACAAACCAGACAGTGACGACCACACATCATCACAGACAGTTTCTGAAATAACTGCAAGAAACAGGATATTCACACGGTTTCTAGCCTGTTAAGAAATTTGGTTAATGATCTGCTTGAAATAAGATAGGCCTGTCCGTGCGAGGACGTGCAGCTATACTACCTTCAGCAGCCCATGCTGGCCGTAACAGGTGACTATGCTTGTCGTAAGAGGTGACTAACGGGGTCGGGTGGTCAGACTCGCTGACGTGGTTGATGCATGTCATCGTATCCCAATTGCGTGGATTGATGCTTATGATGTCAGTCACTGGATTGTCTGCTCCAGACTCGATTATTTACAGACCGCCGTCATAGAATTGGAATATTGCTGAGTGAGGCGTAAAACAACTAACAAACAAATAAACGTGCAACCACAGGGAAGAGTGGCTACATCTGATGGTGATGTACTTGGTATCTTGTCAACAAATGTCGCAGACTTCACAACACCCGCCTTCATCAAGCAGCACCTGATGGACGACACTCAATGTTAGCACCGGACGGAGGTGAGGTGTTAGTCGATACCAAGTAATATACCACGGACACGCTGAGGTGTTGGTCGATAACATGGTGATCTCGACATTGGGTATACAATGGTACCATGTTTAAATTGCGTCCCCGTCTCCATTGTGACGGAATGTTGTTACACCCGTCACTAAATGGTACTCATTGATAAAACTGTTTACTGAGTAACTCGTCAGTTCGCAATGTGAGACGCGTCTGTTGTTCTAACATCAATTCTGGAATGAACATTTCTATCTGCGCCTGTTCTTGGGGATTGCACCCCGACTTTTCTTGACCCGAGTTTTAGACCATCCTCTGTCCTTGTTCCCATCACGGTACTTTGTGTACCTCGATCTGATCGTTCTTTGTGACGAGAGAGAGACCATGCAAGTACACGCCCAAGACATGCATTTGGGCTTTTCTCCCAAATCAAGCTGACACGCCGTGATATAACTGAAATACTGTTCAAGTAGACGTTAAAACCCTGCCCACTCATTTATGAACGTGGTGTCAGACGTGCCACAATTGTCATTTTAGAAATAAAGATTCACTTTCGGTTAATCAAGGAATACACGAGAGAAAAGTATAAAATGTACAAGTAAGTATATTGATCATACATTGTCCAGGGTATATTTAGCACGTACTGTTGTACAGGAACACATTTGGAAATAATGGTTAAAAATGTATGTAATACCTCTGCTCCATATATACTCTAGGCATGTTGCCTTCACGGGCGTGAATAAAGATTTGTTTATATGTTGTGCCGCGAGGTTGTTGACTCAGGGTGTTGATAAAGACATCTGGTAGAGCGACACGTGGTGGTCACGTGGTCAGAGGGAAGCCAGGTGCCGTGTGGTCACATTTGTGTTCTACACTCTATCAGAGATCTATTATATGTTCTACACTCTATCAGAGATCTATTATATGTTCTACACTCTATCAGAGATCTATTGTATGTTCTACACTCTACCAGAGATCTATTGTATGTTCTACACTCTATCAGAGATCTATTATATGTTCTACACTCTATCAGAGATCTATTATATGGTATCTGACTCTACGTAACACAAGCAATTGTGTTCTACACTCTATCAGAGATCTTTTATATGGTATCTGACTATACGTAACACACGCAATTGTGTTCTACACTCTATCAGAGATCTATTATATGGTATCTGACTCTACGTAACACACGCAATTGTGTTCTACACTCTATCAGAGATCTGTTATATGGTATCTGACTCTACGTAACACACGCAATTGTGTTCTACACTCTATCAGAGATCTGTTATATGGTATCTGACTCTACGTAACACACGCAATTGTATTCTACACTATACATAACACACAGATTTATGTTCTACACAATACATAACACACAGATTTGTGCTCTACGCTCTATACATAAAACACAGATTTGTGCTCTACGCTCTATAAATAAAACACAGATTTATGTTCTACACAATACATAACAAATTTGTGCTCTACACTATAAATAACACACAGATTTGTGTTCTACACCCTATACATAACACACAAATTTGTGCTCTACACTCTACACATAACACACAAATGTGTGTTCTGTTCTCATATAACTTCCCGGTTTGTTTTCTACCCCAATACTTAACAGGCACTGCTTGTGTTAAACACTCTGTTTGTAGCAAAACCGCTTGAAAAACGAATTACACCGTTTCACCGAACCTATGTTGTCACACCCTGCTGAGTATATACAATGGATGCACTGCCCACGATGCGTGTGTCTCCATGGTGCAGGTTTATATAACCGGGAGGACCTATGTGTACCACGGGATACATCGTGGCTGCATGCACTGCCTACGATGCGTGTGTCTCCGTGGTGCAGGCCTAGGTTTATATAACAGGGAGGACCTATGTGTACCACGGGATACATCGTGGCTGCATGCACTGCCCACGATGCGTGTGTCTCCATGGTGCAGGTTTATATAACAGGGAGGACCTATGTGTACCACGGGATACATCGTGGCTGCATGCAGTGCATTTCTGAAGAGCCAAATTATTCATCATTTAACAAGTATTGTATGCGCACCACATGCAGGCCGGAGTATGTGTAAGTCGTGGAGCAGCTGAAGGGAGACATTTAAGAATGTTTACACTATTAAAAGTCGCGAACAGGTTTTCCAGATGACGTCTGACCACCCACCATCATTGATTTGCTTCATTTAGAACCTCTAAGGTCTGACCTTACTTCACCAGGACATCTCACCAATCACACAATACTGCGTTTGCGATAATTGGTATGTATTCTGCCTCACCTACAATGGTGGCATATAACTCGAGGTCGACCTACATCGCAATGGCGTCACAGCAAGAGTCTGACCTACATCTCAATGGTGGCATATAACTCGAGGTCGACCTACATCGCAATGGCGTCACAGCAAGAGTCTGACCTACATCTCAATGGCGTCACAGCAAGAGTCGGACCTACATCTCAATGGCGTCACAGCAAGAGGTGGGCCTACATCGCAATGGTGGCATACAACTCGAGGTGGACCTACATTGCAATGGCGTCACAGCAAGAGTCTGACCTACATCTCAATGGCGTCACAGCAAGAGTCGGACCTACATCTCAATGGCGTCACAGCAAGAGGTGGGCCTACATCGCAACGGTGGCATACAACTCGAGGTGGACCTACATTGCAATGGCGTCACAGCAAGAGTCTGACCTACATCTCAATGGCGTCACAGCAAGAGTCGGACCTACATCTCAATGGCGTCACAGCAAGAGGTGGGCCTACATCGCAATGGTGGCATACAACTCGAGGTGGACCTACATTGCAATGGCGTCACAGCAAGAGGTGGGCCTATATTACAATGGCGTCACAGCAAGAGGTGGACCTACATTGTCATGGTGACACATCAAGAGGTGGACTTTTAGTCATGGTGACACAAATCCAGTCGGGGAACTACAACCTTACATAATGGACACATCTGGAAGTCGTCGAAGCAGGTTCCCGTCTGTTGTTGCAGTAAACCGCTCATGCCATACTTAATGCAGCACAGCTATATGCGTTTACTGAATCAGACGGTCGTAAACACGGGATCAAAAAGAGTAGAATTTAACAATATTTCAATGTACATTCCTCACATTCCAGCATATAGAGCAGACTAATAACTGAGCCTCCATAGATTGAGTCATTGCCGTGTGCCCGTCTGAATACCACAGAGGGTACCCCCAACCAGACATGCGTTAGATGGAGGAGCGACCGTGGACGTTGCGGGGGAACGATTAGAACGCATGAACAGTTCGGCTTATCTAATACTACACGGTCAATTAGGCGTAGCGTAATTCCTGGCAGGTATACCGCGGAGTGGTTGGTAGGAAGGAATGATAACGCATCTTAGTTCAGATTGAAAGTGAACTATTTTCCGCGATTCAGCTGACGCCAAGTCCCTCTCTGCTACAAATGATTTTATCAGCTTCCAAAGACTTTAAAGACATAATCGCGGAGCACTGTCACAGAAACGTTTCGGTCAGGCAAACGAGCTCCGGCCGTCAGTTCTGGTGTACGTCACCTACTAGATACCAATACAGGGTACCTTTACAACCTGTTGCAAAGACGATTACTTTGATACCTTACGTTCTTATAATTAAAAGCGAAAAGCATGGACACGTTTTCGCACACATCATATTTCAGTTGCGTGGATCGATGCTAATGATGTCAGTCACTGGACTGTCTGGTCCAGACTATTTTCAGACCG